AACTTTCGGCCCGCTGATGTATATACCTATGTATATCTTGGGTACTGCCCCCCTTCAGTAACACTTGGATAATAATTATAATAAGGTTATATATAGCCCTTAATGGGACTCCGAATATAGACTGTTACTGGGTGGGGGCAGTACCCAAATTATACCTATGTAACTAGAGGGTTTGGCATTCAAGGCCCGGGCAAAGCCGCCCCGGCTCCGCCAGCAGCAACTACAGCCGGCCGTGCCTAGACTAGGGTTTAGGGTTTAGGGGACCACCACTTTGACCTGAGCCCCAAATGGTAAATGGTTGTTTACAGAAAAATTGGTCAGAAACTGGCTTCATGTGAGTGACTGAAATTGATATCAAAGGGCCACTCATTACTCCGAAAAGTAAGGGCAACAGAAGCGGTAGCAGTAGTATGTCCAATGTGGAAATGTCAAAAAGTAAGGTCCGCACATGGTGGATTCTCAAATGATGGGTCGATTCTGAGGGTCCTTCCTATAAGGGCCAGTACGTTGAGTACATGTAAAGACTCCACGATTTGGAGTTACTACCCCCGCAGTTGTCGACCTCTATCTTGATACATCTACAAAAAGCGTCTACCAGTAAGTGCAAGCAATCCGCTATCTTGTCACCTGTTGTCGGACTACACTAGCATTGTGACAGTGGACCTCGAGAGAAATGACTCCGATTCCTCGTCTCAGACCTGATCAGATCACTACTCATCTGCCTGGATAGAATGTCAAAGGCATGATTAGCGAGATTCCAGCAAAGCAGCCCTTCGACAGCACACTTCTCCTGTAAGGGACGTCAAACAAAAGACGTAGCTAGGCACGTACGCACGGAGGTACACAGGTACGTATGTATATTGCGGAGGCTCGTCAATGTCTTAATGTATGGGCGATGGGATGATGTCATAGTGAAGCTCCTCACCTCAGGCTGGGTGCGTCTGCTTCCGGCAGAGCTACGCTTGGTCCGGTGGAAAGCCTGCGCGGTCGAGGGCAATCACCTGCACCTGCAACAGAAGGATCTCCGACCAAGAGAAGCGGAGACACCAGAGCTCGGGTACCTTCACCATCAGCAGACAAAGGTATGCTTGGACCTGTGGACAGCTTGCGGGGCCGTTCAAAGTCGCCGGCCCCCGATAGCCCGCCCTCGAAAAATCTCGGTTTGGGGCCCGTGGATATGCTGAAAGGTAGAGCGCCTTCACCAGGAAATAAGCCACATTCTGGTGGTCTCATGGGCCTGGGCCCTGTGGATAGCCTGCGTGGGCGTTCGCAGTCGCCTGTTCCTGAGGTAAAGTCGCAAGGACGCGGCCTGGACTTGCGAGGTCGGGCGTCGCCAACTGCAGACAGAAGTGGCCTTCTGGGTCCAGTGGACAGTTTGCGGGGGCGATCCAATTCCCCTGTGCCGGAGCCTTCCAAACATCTGGGACTGGGCCCGGTGGATAGCCTGCGGGGCAGATCGCAGTCACCTGCGCCGGGTCTGGCAGATGGATTCGGAGACAGATCTGAATCCGCGTCTAGAGGACTTCTGGTTCGAAAGCCTTGCCCCATACATCCTCACCCTTCTGCTCCCTAGGCATCCCACATTTCCTAGTACTGAAATCGGTGGCTGTTGGGGCCGTCTTTTCATGCAGGATCTGCTCTGATGAAAGTTACTCCCCAGCAGAATGGGACGTTAGGCGTGATAGAGGTAGGGGGCTACATCAATTCTTGCAGTTGTTATGGGGCCTGTGCCCTACAGAAGGCCATATAGACCTCATGTAACCCGACTACCCGAAGCATAAGATTTTGCAAGCCATGTATGCGAACAATCGAATCAGTCCTTGAAGGAGGGGCCGCTGCTAGGCGCATGCCTGGAACGTCGCCCTCACCTTCAGGGCGTGAGGCGTATGTGGGTCTTGGCTGTTTCTGTGAGGTTTGCTACGGTTGCGGCTTGCAGAAAGCTTGAAGTAAGAATGAACGCAACGCCAGGGATTCTCACAATCATGGTCCGAGTTGAAGTAAAAAAAGGCCGTGACCACCTCGACGCGGACCACCGCAGCCAAAAGTAAACCCGCTAAGGGAGTGTTGAGGGCGGCATGGGTTTCGTGTCGTTGGTTGCCATGCTGTGTTAGTGCATATGCTCTTTACAGTGAACCCCTATCACATCTGGAGTCTGGAGTCTACTTATACGATCTCATTGTGTAACCATAATCCAGCGAACCAACAATGTGCATATGATTTGAGAATAGTGAGTGTATGGTAGCGTGTTGGAACAAACTTGTGAGATGAAGCTCATCTGTACTGTACTCCTAACCACTGAAAATGGACCCGCTCTACTGAACCCCTACGTACTGATTTGCCACAGTTTGAAGGGGGACCCATAATCTCTTCATAATCCCACATATGCCAAGATACCCAAGATACCCCATGGTACCCCATGGTACCCCATGGTACTGGAGCCCCATTTCGAAAAGCACTCACCTGAAGCTGAGAGGACAGCTTCAGGGATGAACTATCCTTCACCGGCAGCGAGGATCCCTTGGCTGCGCAAGGACTGACGGAACCCTGTGGGCTGGTGAGACATGTAGATCTCTTCTTGGGATAAACAAAACAAGGAGTAGATAACACTGAAGTGCCATTGTATTGCATGTGTGAATGGAGCTGAATCATGTGGTTATTAACGTTCAGGGGTTCTACTATTCTGATATACATGTATATATATATATATGTCTGTGTGCGCCTGGTGCATGCATACATATATGTATATATATGTTCTTGCAAGAATGCAGGATTTGTGGCATTGAGCCCCTCATCACCTTCCAGGCTAGGGAGGGATTTGGGAATTCTGAATTGTTGGCACTCAGAAAGCAAGGATTACCTTAAAAGCTGCCTCAGGCAAGGTCACTTCTCAGCAGGAACTGATTGCTAGAGGGCTCGAAGGAGGTGAGAAGGTGAGAACATGCTCGGATGCGAAAGGCCTTTGGGCCACAAGTGCCTTCCTTGTCCGGGATGGTGGTCTGAAGTGTGTCATGGCACAGACTGGCATGACCGTTGACCCGACACTTGTGCAAGATGACCAACCTTCCAAGGATCAGCTGTCAGAAATGAGCGAGGTTGATTTGGCCGCTGTCCTAAGGTCTGCGAGCCTGCCCGTGGTGCCACAAGCCAACAAGATGCAAATAGTTGATGCCACTCACAAAGATGGGCAGGCCGTGCTGGCAAACGCACGCGGCAGATCAGCTGTGTCAAGGGTTGATGGGCCAGGCAGACCTGCAGAATCAGATGGGTTGCATGTCGCAGTGCAAGGCCAAAAAGAATGGGGGATCAAGGAGCAGGCTTACATGAAGTGCTACGCCACATGGCGCAACATGCTCCTATACACCGGCTTCGATTTGGACACATCGCATCCAGACCTCATGGATGTCAATCCGATGAAAAGGAGAGAAGGTTTGCTGAGCCACTTGTGAAGGATATGTTGACGCCGCTGTCAGATCTACTGCTTCGCCTGGAGCATGTCCGGCATTCTGCGAGCAATGACATGGTGACCATCACCATCCAGGGGACGGGATTTTTGTGAGGAAACCATGCCACTGTCACTTTCCTAAAGGGCGAACGGATCTGGCAACTGGCGCAATACGCTGAGGCAAGCATGAGAGCAAATCACTTGTGAGGTCCATGTTTACGCAAAGTTGGGCAAGCTGCTTCTTGACGTCAGCATCGGAATGGGGTCCGAGTATGGGGATCTGTCCCAGTTGCTGAATCCGCTTGCAGCGGAGAACATGACGTTGCAGTTGCAACTGTCAGCAAAGATTTTCATGCAGCGTCAAGGAAAGTGGGAAGAGCGCATGCTGCCCGCGCACAGGGGACATTCGCGTTTGTGTGGCACTGGATCTGGAAATTGCAGAAGGTAAGGCCACGCCTGCATGCATTCATTTCCTTTGCAATGAAGATGACCTGGTGACCCTTGGCCATGTGAAGCAGGCTTTGGAGAACGGCCCATGGGAGATTCACGAAAATGCGTATGTCCTTACAGCTGATGGATGTTAGAGGAGGTCTGCTGAAACACTTGTGAAATCTTGTGAAGGATATGTTGATGCTGCATTTGTCAGATCTACTGCTTCGCCTGGAGCATCCCAGCATGCTGATGCCTAGCTTGCTTCTGTGGCTGTGGAGTTCAGCCATCCGTGCAGGGACATAGTTACCCGCCAACTGCCAATGCACCAGCATCATGACCCAAACTATTCGGGAGGAATTGTCTCCTCACAAGCTGCTTGTTAACAAGATGCAGCACAATTTAGAGGGGAAAACGTATTACCTGCGAAACGCAAGCAGAGAGGTTGTGGTGAGACAAGCATGCGGTGCACTAGGAATTGGGCTGCCAGAACTGAACTCCGACTAGCGCGAGGAGGTCCAAATATTTCCTATATGGTGCACAAAGTGATGGAGTACAATCACCGACCCAGCTGATGGACCCAATTCCTCTCACTCCTGGAACTCCCCATGACTTGGACTCATATTCTAGACAAGTTGGGGGCTCCGTATCTACTGTACCCCAATCATATTAAGATCCTCATTTTGGAAACCCTAAGACCTTTAAAAACCACCCATTTAGAGGATNNCCCCCCCCCCCCGCCCCGGCCGCCGAACCAGGCATGACGCAGGCGACTCGCTTGGCAGTCGCTCTTTTGACAGCCCCAAGACCATGCGATCAGGACAAGCTCCCAATAGATTAGGATGTAGGGTTATGGGAGTTTCTCTACAGCACTATAAAGGAATCATGGATGAATTCAGCGTTGCATAGATGGAGTTGCAAGCTGTCCGTGCGCTGTATCCCGCCCAGTGGTTCATCATATCCAATGACACCACGGGCCTATCTTGCGTGTCTCCAAACTGCAGAGCAAGACTGACTAATGGTGCTACTTGTTCAAGCAAGCTAGGTTCGGTTCGGGAAGGTTTTTCTAAGGTGATACCTGCTAACGGTCACCCGCTTCTCGCATGTGTTAGGCAGCAGAACAACTGCTCTCTTCATTGTTCGTAACATGCTCCTCCACAGACTGCCGGCTAGCCTGTCGTCATCATCTTCAAATCTTGTATGGTTTTTTCAAAGAAGGAAGACATGTCAGTGATGGTGGCGAGTCCTAATTAGTCGAGGAGGATAAGGATGCGGAGGGGGGTACTGGTGCCTTCATAAATTCCTTAGCAATCCTACAATGAGATCCAAGAGGACTCAGTGATCCGCTGAGCCCGGCCGGGAGCCTGGTTTGAGCTAGCCGCAGGTGTTTAGTATGTGGTGAGAAGTGATCATTTGTGGGTCCTTTTTGGCAGGGTTCAGTGATTCAGCGATGCATCAGTGCATGTAGATAATATCAGATAGACGTTAGGCCTAGACTTTGAGGGTCAGTATAACCAGGGAATCTACGGTTTATGGCTCTATTGGTATTGCCTGCAGTGCTGCAAGAATTCGGGCGTTTTTTCTGCGGACCTGGCATGGCAGTTTTGTTTGATGTACATGGAAGGAGGCCTCATTGTGAGGTATGTAGAACTTCATGCGGGTTTGTGGTTGTGAGCCGGGCTGAGCATGCGTGAAGGATTGCCGGCTGTTTCTGTAGCTTCCAGCAAATGCTTCGACTAGTGCTAGAGGCTACAAGGTCTATGATGGCAGCCAATGACAATATATGGCATTCTCCACTACTGACGGACGAGTACGAGCATTATTCCTGCAAATATTGTAAGATGTTGTTATTCTGACTAGGAAAAACAGCGGCATAACTTGTTGCAAAGTTTTTTCACTGGATGGCTGTGGGGCCACAGACTTGGATGGCGGCTTTGGCAACCCGCCAGTAGAAGGCATCTACATGTTCTAGGCAATGCTTTCAGTTTCAAGCTTTAGGAGCTTTGGGCCTACAACGTTGTTCAGGTGCCTACTTGCCGAGTGAACCAGAAGCATGCATCTGGACCCGGCCCTAAAAGCGCCTCCAGGTATGACGTTCAGCCTGAAGATCCAAAGCATTCAGCCCCAGGATGTACTCGATTCATTTCGTGTTCAGCGATTAATTCTCTAGAACTGATGAGGTGGCCTTCCCCAAACCATGATGAACGCAAGGTGGCGGGGCATGGGAAGTCACTGGCACCTTTGTCAGGAGGCCTGCGATCAGGGTTGAGTCATGCCCATGTTACATTGAGAAGACATCGACGTGGGACGATCTTTTTTTCTCGGGAGGTCCTTCACTGCGAGAAATTGTTGGGCTGGGGGTGTTTGCAGCGCGCTAGCTCTGACGCACAAGCTCACATTATGGATATCTCTTTTCCCATGATCTAGGCATGGGGTAGACCATCCAAAGCAGCTGCTTGAATCGCTTATCATGGCGTTGAAGACGAAGCATTGCTCTTTCACGAGAAAGGATCTTCCAGGAAAGCCCCGAGTGTGAACCCTCCAGCATCCAAACTTCAACAGCATTCAGAAAAACTTTCAAAGCCCTCAGGCGGCGGCCTGAGAGGCTTGTCGCCAGGGCCGGA